AGAGAGAGAGAGAGAGAGAGAGTAAATGGTGAGGAAATGAGTTCCATGAGGCAAAGCATCTTGATGGCCTTAACTGTGACAGTGAACAAATACGCTTCTTCCAACGTTCAAGCCGTTCGTAGAAACGATTCCAAAGCTGGTTCGGTAACCGCAAACGCAAACGCGGATTTTGGACCGCAAAGGCGGAATTTCCTCCTCTCTTCTTCGTTTCTCGCAGCCGTTAACGCACGCGACCAGCTCCTCCAAAGTATGTATAACGTCGCCAACGCAATCGCGTTTTCTTTCTCTTTTATTTTTATTGTTCTTAAGTGTGTTGTTCAATTCAATTGTGTGGTTGTTTTGTAGAATATCTGAAGAAGTCTGATGAGAACAAAGCCAAGAATGACAAAGAGGTACCTAACTCATTTTATTTATGTATAATATATATATATATATATATATATATATATATATATATATATGAAAAGGAAACAATTAATTAATGTTTCTTTTATGAAAGTTTTCTTTGTGTTTGACTTACATTTCAATAGTTGTCTTCAATTCTACCTTTAATTTGCATGGGGCATTATCAAAAATACATTTAATTTGTTATATCTACTTCAAGCCCTACCCTTGTGACCATGTGATCAATGTGACCGAAATATAGTGTGGTCACATATTGATCACATTGTTAATAACGTTAAATTTATGATGTTTTAATCAAATGATTAGTAAGATATACAAGGTATGAACATAATGAATTAGTGTGATCACCATAAATTTAACGTTATAATCGATAAAAATCAAAATGTGACCATACTATATTTCGGTCACATTGGTCACATGTGACCAGGATAGGCCTTGAAGTAGAAATCGTAAATTAAGGGTATTTTTGATATAATGCCAATTTGCATCGTACTGAGAATAAAATATGATTGAATATTTTGCCAATTTTGGGTTACACTTATATTTAGGTTTTTATTACGTTTGTGTTCCTATTTGGGTTTATACTATTGGGTATTGTATCGGTTTTCAGTTTATTTAGAATTTGGTTTGGATTCACTTTTGTGTGTTAAAAATAATCATTTTCTAAAAAAAATCATTTGATTTGTTCGATTATTTTTATATACAATTTAATTTTTAATTCGTTTTGATTGATTTTATTATAGAAAATTATGTGAATAATATTTTAAAATCGGAACCAATTTAGCAAATTATATATGACATCCCGGGTATCAATTAAGATAGAGAGTAATCGTCTGTGCGAAATGACACAAATAAGGAGCGGTTTCTGTTATACTTATAGGTAGGAAAGACACAGGTATGAATCAAACGCACCGAAATAAAAGAGATTCGAGTGATGTGTAGGTATGAAATTATATAGTAAAAAATAATTTAAAAGAATAGATTTAACTACTCATACGAACAAAATTCATCTACGTTGTCGGTTATCTATCTCGAGAGAACTTCAAAATTAAATATACTTACTTTGGAATAGTCTTAAAATGAGAGACTGGTATAGAGTTTCATACCTAAATAGCCTTCAGATACTTCTCATTACGGTGCATTCGATTCGTCCCCCTATCTCTCCTACCTAGAAATCTGCCACAACCGCTCGTGATCACTCTCCGCTTTTTCGATATCCGGTATATCACATATATTCTCTATTTCGACATTTAGAAAGCACATTCCGTATACCGGTATGCGTTATTTTCGAGGTTTATAAAAAAGCATTATATATAGTGATTGAAGAGGGTGTTTATAAGAATTTAGTCTTTTTTTATCATGGTTTTTCTATCCTACAGAAGTTTTTCATTTTTAAAGAGTCGGTCTAACTAATATTTGACGTATAATCACTAAATGTCCAATGATATATGTTCCTTCATAGTGAAGGAGCTCGTCTACTAAGCCTATCCTATAACTACACATGTACAAAGACTTGTAATATAATTAAAGAAACACTACATATTACATCACTCTTCTGATCTGATATTTGATCAGAATATTTTTCTATTTTTCATCTTATTTACTCTTTTACTTTTAACATGACCCACATTATATGGGCGTATTTTCATTCCATACCAATGTTTAATTATATATATAATTTGTTTTTCATAACAAGCTTTTGAAAAATAATTCTTGCATCAATGGATTATCTCTTAAAAAGCCGTATATTTAATACGTCAAATATGATATTGTCGATAACGCAAATTCAGCTTTATTATACATTTTCTATAAACTTCTAATAATGTTTTGATATAAAAAAAAGGTTCATATTTTCATTTATTTGTTTTGATTGGAGCAGAGGCTGGAGAGTTACTACAAAAGGAATTACAAAGACTACTTTGAGTTCGTAGAAGGATCTATAAAAGGAAAGAGGGAAGAAGAGCTCACCCAGTCAGAGAAAAGCATCCTTGATTGGCTCAAATCCAACAAATGATTCTTAACTTGTAATTTCTCTATATATTTTTATTTTGTTTTTTGTTTATAGATTCAAACACCCACGTATAATTATCAAAATATTCTTGGTATTTTCACTTTGCAGTTGAGAAGCTATGTGTTGACATTTTCGTTTGGAAAGTGATGTTTCCCCTATGTTTCTTCTTATAAAATAATCATCTTTTAAAAAAAAAACATATGCTAAAAATGATGTTTTTTCATTTTTTTTCTCTTTCTTTATTTTTTCATATTTAATTTCCCTTCTGCACTGTTCTCTTTTAGTTTTTGCCCTTAACATCTCGAATACTACTTGAGTGCAAAATTCAACCAAGATGGTAAGAAAACTCAGTCGATATTTCGACCGAAGACACGTTTCAAATTTTTTAAGAGTAATCTCTTCCTTCTTTCTTTTTATGTTTAGAGGAACGCTTAACATTCTTCCAAGTCTGTGAGAATCTGTCAAGAATGGACGAAATTATCACTATCCATTTTCATTTGTGTTGTACAAATTTACTGAAAGATCCTTTGCAATTTATAGAATTACTTTATAACCGATTTTGGTTGATATAACCGATTTTGAATCAACCATCTTGTAAGTATTAAAATTCAAAAAACTTTTCACCAGAGGCATCCTCGGAAATGTAATTTTTCTTTTGATTGTTTGTGATGCCTCGGAAATATAATTTTCCTTTTGATTGTTTGTGTTTTTTATGTTCAAATACGTATCTATTCATCAACAACAGCAAAAAAGTGAAAAAACATGGATTTTAGGACATTACGGATGAAACAATTACATTCGAAATTGTTTCGAAGAAGAACACGAAAGTTTGGAAGAGACAAAACTTTCAAACATTACGGACGAAACTATATTTTGATATTTATTATTTTTTTTTCATTATTTTAAAATTCAGTTCAAATAAATTTGATTTAAAAAGAAATCCATATTCAATTCAGACATATAATTATATATCATTGGGTTTGATTAGCTTAAATTTTACATGCTCTCAAACCATAATGACTATTTATCCATAGTTTAGATGATATACACTGCGTCCACTAGGAGACAAAATCTCCTGCTCATATTTCTGCCACATTGAGTTCAAAGCTAATGTAAAAGATAACTTCACTTGTCAAACCCTCGAAAATGATATCGAATTATCTATCAAACACGTTTCTCATACATATTTATTAGGTTCTCATAAGTGTCCCACATTGGAAAATGAGAGGGATTTGGGTCAATATATAAGTAAGGATCAAACCTCCACTCTTAAGCTAGCTTTTGTAGTGGAGTTAGGGCCTAAACCTTATTAATTGGTATCAGAGCCTAACTCTCTACTTTCCGGTGGGCCTTTGACGGGCCGTTCTCCTGCGGACATGCGGTCGACTCGGTGGTTGTGGGATGGTCGGGAGAGGAACGGTCAGGAGATGAACGATCAGGAGAGGAACGGTCGGGGATGAACCGAGAAGCCGCCAGTGATCGAGAAGCCGCCATCGACCAAGAAGCCGCCAACGACCAGATTTGCCCCAACGTCGTGGACGTCGCTGCCTAAAGGGGGCGGTATTGATAAGTGTCCCACATTGGAAAATGAGAGAGATTTGAGCCAATATATAAGTAAGGGTCAAACCTCCACTCTTAAGCTAGCTTTTGTGGTGGAGTTAGGGCCTAAACCTTATTAATCATAGGAATATATCGGTCTATACGGATTCTGAATAAGTCTAAGTTTTGAAGTTGAAAAAGAAGAGTCTAAGGATAAACATCAAGCACATTGTCCTTTTAACAATCTTGCTTGGATTTATCTTTTCTCAAATCGCGGTGAGAATCAGATCACTGTTTTTTTATTTTTTTTCGGATTTGTTCTCCTCTTTACACGACTCTTTTTTCTTTTTATCTTTAATATCTCGAACACTACCTGAGTGGACGATTTAACCAAGATGGTAAGAAAACTTAGTCGATGTCTCGACCGAAGATGCAATCCCAATTCTTCAAGAGTAATCTCTTCTTTTTTATGTTTAAGGTAACGCTTAACATTCTTCTAAATCGGTGGAAGTTTATCAACAATGGACGAAACCATCACCATCCATTTTCATTTTGTGTTGTGCAAATTTACTGAAAATCCTTTATAGTTCATAAAATTGCTTTATGAACAATTTAGAATAGACCATCTTGTAAGTATTAAAATTATTTACAAGAAACTTTTTACTAGATGCATCTCTGGACCTCAGACATGTATTTTACCTCTTGATTGTTTGTGTGTGATATTTAAATGGATATCTATTCATAAACGATAGCAAAAGAGTGGGAAAACATAGATTATAGAGCATTACGGACAAAACGAAACGGCTACATTCGAAATTGTTTCGGAGGAAGAACACGAAAGTTCATAAGAGAAAACTTTCGGGCATTACAGGCGAAAATTATTTTAAAATTCAGTTAAAATAAATTTGATTTAAAAATAAATTCATATTCAATTCAGACATATAATTATATATCATTTGGTTTGATTAGCTTAAATTTTACATGCTCTCAAACCGTAATGGCTATTATCCATAGTTCAGATGACATTACACTGCGTCCACTAGGAGACAAAATCTCCTACTCTTCTGTCACATTGAGTTCAAAGCTAATGTAAAAGATAACTTCACTTGTCAAACTCCCATATGACTCCTCCATCCTCTGAAACATCCACGCAAAAAAACAAAAAATAAAAACACTCATTAGTCATTTATAACACACGAACAAGCATACGACAATGTTCATATTTCAAACCACTCATTAGCACAACTACATCTATATAAACACACATACAAGTGTACAACAATGTTCATATTCCAAGAAACAAACAAGAGCAGTTTGTATGATCATTGACATGTATGGATTCTCCTAGTTCTCTTGTGTTTTTTGAGTTCAAACACAGAGCAAGTAAAGTGCTCAAGCTTCTGTGACTGTGAGTTTTCACTATTACCAGCGTTTGGCTTTAGCCCCGAAAAGAGAAAAATACGATAATAATCAGCAACCTCCACGGTTTACAGATCAGTGTCCCATATACGGGTGCTTGTGTATCCGAGATCCGAATAATGAAATATCAACACAGATCCTAAAAGCTGAAATCAATGTCAGAATGCTTTCCTTGCAGATTACCTCGATCATAAGTTTCTAGCTATGATGTTATGAGCGCTAAAACAAAAAGATGGAATGAAATGAGAATCGGGAAATTACCCTTGACTTTCTTGTTGATCCAAACCTCAACAAGCATTCCAGCACCGATGCCGCCGAGGATGCAGGATCCATAGAAAGCAATGGCAGAAGGCCAAGACCTTCGTGGGAGGAAATAATAGTCGGGAATTTGCCTAATCTTCTTTGGAAGCCGTTTTTTCACGATGGGTTTTGCACCGGCGCTTGGGTCCTTTTGCAGCTCTGTTCCAACAGCCTTCCAATCAACTCCTTTGAATGGGTCTCTAGGCCCTTCGCTACCCATTGTTCTACACAACAATCAACAATGGAGAAAGTTCAAATGAGAACCCAAACTGAAAATATTGAGAAATATTGATTCTTCTATGGCTTGATTTGTGGATTAGCATACAGAAAATCAGGACTCATTCAATACAGTTTGAGTTTCTCTCTCCCTACGGCATATTAAAGCTCTAATAGGAACAATTAACCCCAAACAAAGCCATAGTAGTCTACAAAGCAACTCAAGAACCAATAACCTGAGATTGTAAGTACATAAGAGACAAAATGAGACAGAAGAAACACAATAGCCCAGGAAAACGTTCTCAATTCCTCAGCAAAAGTTGAAATTTTGATTCTAAATAAATACATAACTTTTTTTTTGTCACTAATCTTATGCTGCATCAGTTTATGATCACTACACTGTATTATGCAAGTGGGTTCCTTCCACACTGCAAAATGGCACCCATGAAAAAGCAAAACCCAAGTGCAAACTATCAGAACAAGATGATGGAATCCATGGAAAAGTAAACTATCATCCGAAATTCAGCAGAACCGCTATTATGAAGTGAATATTAGTCAGAATTCTAATATTCTAAACACCTGGAAGGCGGAACAGAAATCAATCTTCTAAACTCACAAAAGCAGAGAACAAGGAAAAAGCCAGGTCCAGAAAGCAAAACTTACAGATCCATGTCTCAAAAAAAAAACTCCAAGGCAAGTTTCAAATTCGATATAATTTGTGTTGAGGAAGTGTAACAAAACCCAGATCACATTCACAAGGATGAACCGTCAAATCAGAGATTCCAGCGCGAAACAAATTAACAACGTGGATCACCCATGACCAAAAACACAAAATCAAAACGTAACCGGAGAGAGAGAGAGAGAGATGGAGAGGGTACCATGCGGCGGCGGAGTGGAGCGGACGATAGGTTGTGAGAGGGAGAACTCAGAATTTGATGCGTTTGGCTTCTCCCTGTAATTCTGCCAAAACATAAGGGTATTTGAGTCATCGCGGTCAAAACGCAGCGTTTTGCTCTCTTGACATGGATTGATTAGACATGGGAACCTGGGAGTATTTTTGGAATTGTTGGCGCCAAGAGAAGAGGACTTCAGATCTTCACCGAGAAGGAGAGGTAAGAGATTTCGAATCTTTCCCATTTCGCGCAATTTGTTTGAATCTCGTACGAAATCGTTTCTATTTTTTGCTTATGTAATCCCAATTCAGATTTCTTTGCTCGATGCGAGATATCTTCGGCTGGTTTCTAGGGTTTTTAGAAATTGCATTGTGCAGAATCGGAACATTTCTGGTACTTTTTTCCTCCTTAAAAGTGATTTCATGCTCAGGAAATTTGTGCAATTCGTATATAAAGCATATTTTCCGATGCATGAGCGTATAAAATAGGCCATTGAGGTGAGGGATGGATAAGGGTACTGAAAATGAAAAGAAACGGATGTTTGTGTGAAATTTTAGATAGCAATGCATCCAAAAATATGGATGATTAGGTTTTTAGGTTCCAAAGGCGGAAATATTTTGGGGCCTGTTTGACGATTTCCTTCGAAGATATTCGTTTGATGCTCTGTGTCAATTATGCTCATCGTGTAAATCTATGATGCCTGTCTCTTTCTTGTTGACTAGATAAGTTGGCTTCAGAATTGTGGACCTAACAGATGTAGGGCATTATATGAAACCGTGTTTTAGTTTGCCCTTTCTCCGTCTTATTAGTCATGTCTCTTGAATACTCAAAGGCTGTCACTTTAGCAGCCGTGTGGGATAAAAAGTACATATTTTGTGGGATTACTGTTACCATTACTGCCCCCAAGTGGATTTCAGTGTTAATTATTGATTTCACTTATTCATGGACCGTTTCCTTTCAACTACAACAATACAGTTAAGGGGTGATCTTGGTAACTGACAGCACTAATACTGCTTTTGGATTATCTTAGTTGATGTCAGATAAGAATACGCATTCATCCCATGTAGTGATGATTTTTTGTAGTGTTCTGATGTTGGAGTTTGCTTGATGATTTCCTTCATTTCTATTCGGCAGATGCTTTGTGTCAAAAATCCAACTATCCCTTGGTGTGTTCCTGTGTTACTTGTGCTTATCATTTTAAGTCTTTGATCCCATCTCTCTCTCTCTTGGTGACAATATAAGTTGGCTTCAATGTGGACCTATGAGATATAGGGCATTGGGCGAAACCATGTTTCTAATTTATCCTCTCTTCTTCTAATTAATCACGTCTCTCAAATACTCCAAGGCTGTCTCTTTTGCTGCCGTTGTGGAATAAAATGTTACTGCTTCCTCAGTGGAATTCTAGAGTTAATGATGTTCATGGGTCACTTGGACTGCAATAATGCAGTTAAAAATGAGTTTATTTATTGAGAGCGCGAATGCTGTTGTTGGATTATCTTTGTTAGTGGTCTCCTTTTTTCATTTGTTTCGTGTGATTGGTATTTATTGAAAACCACCACTTTTTAGTATAATTTGATTTGACTATATGGTGGATTCATGCTCAGATCCCATCTCGCTTTATGCCATTTGTTGGTGAGAGTATCTTCTCCAAGCTGTTACTTATATCTCTCTCAATCTAAGGTTCATTCTCATTTTGGTGGATTATAGTAATCCAGCTTTCAAAATTTGTGGGGTCATGACCGTTTGTTTCTTTGAGGCTTCGTGTTGTCACATTTTCGTTTGCTGTGATCATCATCACGATTTATGGCTAAATTGGACTAAATTTTCAATCCTGGAAAAGAAACAAGAAGGGTTTCCAATTTTTTGGACGATCAATTATCATGTATGATAATTTTCTGGAATAAACTTTCAATCCTGGAAAAGAAACAAGAAGGGTTTTCAATTTCCTTCATATTATATTGTATTCACATTTATGATAATTGTATAAAATGGGAGGGTAGTGGAAGAACATGATATTCTTAATACTGAGATGGTTGCTTTTTAGTTGACCAAGCTTATTGGCCGCCCCCACTGAACTGGTTGATATTCAGTGATTTGCATTTTCAGCTTCCTCTGCATGGAATTTTGAATTGTTTATAATTTTGTTTGCTCACGTGAGTATGAGTTCTTGTGTGTCTTTAAAATTATTGTTTTGTTTTCTACCAGTTAGACTGTAAATTGTGAAAACATTTAGTAGTTAAAGAACGAAGAAAGCAACAATTTATAAACTTTACAACTTTACATGGGAAATGCTATTCTTGTTCTGGACAATAGACCGCTTGCGACCTTGACTAATTGTGAATAAGTAGCTGTGCATCTATGTAGGGTTTAGAAACATAAATTCTATTAATCTGCTAACTAATTCACCTAAAACCATGTATCAACCTTTCTGGTTCTAGTGGTGTTATTTGCACAATGCTGTCTTGTGGTGGTTGAGAAGATTCTGATGAGCTAGCCTGGCTACAGCCTGCTATCTTTTGGCAAGTCTCGATGAGGCAGTGCCTGCACGTCGGACAGGATGAGTGTGAGCCGAGCCATTTGTCTATACACCGGACATGGAATCCATGATTGCACTTAGGCAATAGCTTCACTCGCTCCCGTGGTGCGAATTCCGACAGACATATTGCGCACTCAGTGTCTAGGCCAGGCAGTTTCAATTCAGTAGAGTAATTTACTGTCTGGAAACTCTTCAAGGCTTTTCGTTTGACTCCTGTGTTGGCCAAGCGAACTGCCTGGTTGCCACTAGCTTCAGATGATACTAAATTGGAGCACCTCAATGCACATTTTATGATGGAATTCAATCCGAGTGAACAAACTAGGGCACATAAGAGAACTGATAGGACCATAACAACATTGGCATCAAAGCTGTTATCACCTGTATATGCTTCATGAGCGTTTACAGGAGACGGTGGTGCTGAGGTTGGGGGCTGATAAAGTGTTTGGAGTAGTAATCTTCTTGGGTAAGAACTTCCAATGATATCTTGGAAGAGCAGAGCTTGTTGAGTAGTGGAAGCAGAGGTGGAAGTAGACATGTTAATCTAGTTTCAAGAGCTAGACAGATAGATCTCTTAGGTTTTTGTGGGAGGTGATATATATAGAGCAAAGGTAAAGGTTTGAATTTAGCTTTCTGAGATTTATAGGGAAATAATTTTTTATTTGATTTTTCTGATTTATGGTTGGAGGAATATGCTTGAGAGATTAAGCCCATAGTATGGTCTTTTAGTGTCTTATTTTTATTCAAGTGTTTGCATTTGTATGGATTCTCCACTGAACTTGTACAATTTTTGTGTGCTTTCTTATCAAGATGGACCCATCACACCATTTGCTGCAGTGGCAATGCCACGTGGTGTTTGGCTTTAACAAATCAAATCTCCCAGAATTGCTCCCAGGGACCCATAAGCTTTTAGCTGCAGCAGCCATGAACCTTCCTAATCTTTGATGTAGCTTTCAGATAATACAATCGCTTGTCTTGGCTCATTCTAATGGCGTCTTTCTCCTCCTTCTTAGACATTAGGATCTCTATTTCCCTTTCGAAGATTTTGTCCGTGTGGAAAAGCTATGCAAATATGAAGCTTTCTTGAATCAGACTCAGTTTAAGGCTTTAAGCTATTGCACTTAGATTGAGACCATGAAATGAAAGTCATCCATAGAGACTTTTTCATCAATATGATTTTCTGTTATTTGAACAAGGAGTAATTATGTGGATAGGAATTGCTCACATCCTGTTGGACTTGGAACTCAAATTCTAGACCTAATGATTCAGATGACGCTAAACTATTGGTGTTTAGCCATGAAAACAACCTGTATGGATATCCTTTTGGGCTTCTTGATTAGTTATACTCAGCAATATCAAGGGATTTTTGCTTGATAGGAGCTTCTGTGACATTGTTTTGCCTCGTAGGAAGTGTTTTTGGTAGGAAAGGAGCTTTCTTGATTTTGCATCTTACCGTGGGAAATTTTCGTATCCCTTTGGGGGTTGACATTTGATTGTATTAAATCTATTCATCGCCCCTTATTTGGACCCTGAAATGGAGGCGTACGGATGATACTCCATTAATTAATTCCCTCTTATGTTTAGGGAACAGAAATTGTCCGTCGAGCAGCCCAAAAGGGCACACCTCCGTGCAATCATTATCCAATAAATATCACTCCCATAGCATAGTGTCCAGCTACTGCGCCTTTTCCTGAATAGTTTTGCTCTCTTTTTCTTCACATGCATCTGTTTTAAAAATCATAGCTAAAGTTACCGGTCCCAAGAGAAAAACCCTTCTTTTGTTTGCTTTACGCGATATCATCTTTTATTGCTTGCAAATTGCATAGGGAAATCTACGTGAATCTAGTATCAAACGTTTTTCTTGTGGCTCTAAATTAAAGTGAGATTCTTTGAAAGGAAATACCAAAGAATATATTGTATTGATCATTAACAGGATATTTATTAGATGTGAAAAATGGTTATTATAGAATTGGCTTCGGAGAGATTATGTGTAGGGGGTGTAAAGTTGAGATTGTAAAGCAGGGTATTCCTCTTTTTTATCCCTTCGTATCGGTCTCATTCTGAAAAATTATATATTAGCGGTAGGCTAATTCAAAATGGTTTTGTTGTTTCTTTTGCTTGTGCCACTAGGTGCCATTTAACTGGTAAGAACAAGAAGTGGTCTGTTTTTTTTATCCCTTTGGCCAAAGTGGTAGACTTTTCTTTTCTTGATTGGATTTATGTTCATGCCTACATTTGCAGGAGGAATGATAAGGTTCATGGTGACTGATGAAGTTAGGAGGACAAAATATAAGTTTTATCTATTTTATTTGGTATCATAGCAAATTGTTGGCTAGAGCACCTAGGTTATATGCTATAATACTCTCTTTTTTCATAAAAAGGCATAACATCTGATGCGCGTGTATTCTTTTATTGGAAATCTTGATTTCTGTTGTCCCCTTGGGTTTTGATTATTCCTTTCATGATTAATATGTGAAGAGATGCGAGTGAGAAACATCTGTCAAAGTCAAGGAGCCTAGACGAAATTTACTTTGAAATTGTTACCAAACAGGTCAGTAAAAGGAATATAAATCTTTCTATAATGACCCTTATAAGTTATAATCACTGCATGTGAAATAAGTCGATTAGGTGAGAGTAGGAAATCCTTAGAAACGCCCACCTAAGATCTTTGATGGATGCATTTATCATGTGGAAATGATTTGTCCTCATCCAATGTGTTTAAGAGCTATGACAAGAGTTACAGTTCTTGAGCTAGATATTGGAAATACAGAGCTTTCTGTGTATCGTATTCTTTGTCTGATTACCAATTTAGTTTTAATACTCAAATCTCGTTATTGGTTTATCTGAATTGTTTGTGTCAAAATGATGAATCTTGCTGAATGTATAAGTGGAATATTTGTTAGGGCTAGGCGCGGTGGGTACCCGGATTTTTTAGGGTACCCAGTTTCAGTCTCAATCTCGTCGGGTTATTGGACGGTAATGTTTCGCACTCAGTCTCACGAGATTTGGGTACCTGCGATTCGGATACCGTGACACAATATCAAATACCCGCAAAACTCGAACATGTTAATATTAAATCAAAAAATTTGAAATAGGTCCTATATAATCGAATGATAAAAATATTTCATGTCAAAATCATACAAAATTGATCTAACATCATCCAAAATATATAAATTTGAAACTGAATTTACAAAAATCAACAAATCATCAACTAAATTTTCAAATAAAATACACAATATTTTGGCAAATAAATATAAAAATAAGGATATTTTTATAAATGTATAAATTAGTCGGGTACCTGCTAGATAACCCGTCACAAAATACCAAAATCCGAACCCTAAACTTGGATTTCTTTTCTTATAAAACCCGACATCAATCTCATTATCTCGTGAATAGTTAAATTCGGATACCCGCGGATCTCATGTTAAAAGGCCCACCCCTAATATTTGTTGGTCTTCCCTACTAATGCATCAGGGTTTTTTTTCCTGGTTATGCAGAGAACTTAGTTATGTGCTTGAATGAATTGGCACAGCCTATTGTCTCCAGCTCTTTTCCCCTACAACAGTATACCGACAAATAGTTCCCCCCTTTTTTATTGAGCACATTGTCGAATCGTTTTTCTGCTAATTTATTTAATATTTTTTCCAAAAAAGTGAGATATGATTGAAGTTTTTTTTTTTTTTTTGTTCCAACAAGAAGACTTTGCATAAAGCACTAAGCTAGTAATTTTAAACATTATCCCCCATAGCTCCCATTGGATGTCCCTTTGTGCCCGTAGTGCTTCTGTATCTACACAGCATTGTTATAATGTTAACCATAGAAAGATTAAGTGCGTTTATTTTTCTTTAATTTTTTCATTGTGTGGTTAGGGAAAAAAGTTTATATAATATTTATACAATACAACATTAGTTTGTTCCTTTTACAGTAACTGTGGTACTCAGATGCAGTTGTCAGCCGACATCCAAGAACCGATCCAGTCTTTGACTCTAGTCAGAACAGTTCTAGTTGGGCAATTTTAGTTCAACCGCTGACCATTTGCTATTACAGTCGAGGCTTTGGATAAGTTTAAAATGCAAAATTTAGTTCAACTTCTTCTGCTGGGATTAGATTAGATTAGACTAGATAGAGTCTGATACCATAGGATTCATGTGGATATTACTGCCTGTTAATCACATTCTTCAGTGATAAACCAATTGCTTTTCTCTTCAGTGTACACCCTCAATACTATGCTCTTACTCGCCCCTCTAGTAAAACAATAATTCTTCTTAGCACTTTAAATCACATCCAATCAGAAGTACTTAGGATCTTATTTTGGACCCCTTTGTTTATGAGATCTCTGTTTGCTTTTGAGCTGCAAGATCTCAGGATCTATTTGTGACATGCTGAAAACTAGGTTCAACATGTGGCTCTTAACTATCATGTATTTAGTAATGTAATCCTATGGTTTATGGACTCCAGCCTGTCGAGCTGGTTTCGGACAACATCGTAATGACTTTGTTATCCCGGATTTCGAATTAGATATTGAAAGAAGCTGTGAAAAGGCTATTAAGGTTGGCTATTTGCGCTTTTGTTTATGTTATCGTTTAGTCTTTTGTATTACCAGGACACAGCACCACGTAGATTTGATCTTTTAGCATAGATCTCTCTCATTTCTGTTTATCACAGTACCCCATGTACGTGCACTAGATTTGTACTCTCAGTTGCAAAATTGAGTGTGTGAAAGCAAGCATGATAGAGGAAGATCCTCCTTGGAACTTCGTCTACAGCGATAAATGTTCTAGAAACATCATTCCTCCGACCCTGAACCCAACCAATTGAGTAATCGGCGGGTTTGTCATGTAACTAAGAAATTAACCTTGCTATTCTTGAATGCCAATGGAACAAGCAGTCCTTATCAGACTACTTTTGGAAGTGCCGTGATATACATCTTTGAATTAATCTAATCTTTGTTATAGGCCATTGCCATGTCGCCTTTTTACAACCATTATCTATGCATTGTTTTCTTTCGTAGACGCAAGAAATGGCGAAGAATTTCTGACCTACATGTTGAGAGATTGTATGTTCCCATAAATCAAGTCTACCATCTTATGACCATTGGGCAACAAAACTCAGTTCCCTTCATGGATTGGTGTTGTCCTGTACGAGGAATGTGATGCCCCCTGGAGGACGAATCTTTTAACTCTGTTTATGAATCATTAACATCATTGGCATTAACCACATTAACACTATCCTATTTGCTTTTTGTGTGTGGGTGAGGCTGATGATCACTAATCAAGAAACTACTTAATTGCCACATGAAGAGGGTTTATGATTGCCATGGAGTAGGATATGCTCCAAGTGTTTATAGAAACTAGATAGTAACATAATCAACAGTACTAGTTTTTCATCGTCCCTAGTCTTCATGTCAAGGTCCTCTAAGTGAACAAGTACTGGATTAAACTCATTCCGGGTAATATTTAATTGGAGCTCTTTGATGAAACACTGAGCGACCAAAGACAACCTCTTTGGGCATTGCTCGCGGTTTCAACTACCTCGTTGTATACAGTAACTTCAAATGCAACCATAGTTAGTGCATGAACTTGCACAAGATCTCAAATCTTTATACATCATTGGACTGGAGAAAGCACCTTCTTACCAACTTGCTCTCGGCTCATCAGTCAATGCTATCAGGTATCTTTGACTTTTTCCCCAATGTTTCAAAAGCAGTGGTAGGTTCTACTTGCTGATTGTGACATATTAATATGGATAGTACTGTTGTATGACAAGTATCCAATGGTTTCGATTCTCGGTATGCGATGATGTCGATTCTAGGTGAACCTTGGGTTTAAGCCTGTAATACTGAAATTCACATTCCATTTGAAAACTTTGAAGAATAGAAGTATGATGAAATTATGAGATACTTGTGAAAGGTAAGATGCATTGTCTATGTACACTTGTGTTTTTTTTCTTCGAGGAAAGTAACAAGGAACAACAAATAATTTTCTCGGGTATCCATGATTCTTGGTTTTAGAATCCTCCTACGGCTAGGGACATGAAATTGTGTTTGAGACTGAAAAATCTCCAATCTTGATGGAGCAACAACTCTAATCTAAATTCCTGGGCAACACTTTCTTTTTAGCTGCTTCCTCTGTAAGAGTTCATCCTTCCTTCAGGCTCCAGAGGAGCAATATTAACAATCATGTTTTCAGGTGGTGTGATTGTTGTTGGCGCCGATTCCTGATGATCAGTTTGGTTGCAGTCTCCTAAGATCTTTTGGCATGTCTCAACCAGAGAGTGTCTGCATTTTGGACAAGACAAATGCAGCTTAAGCCACTTGTCAATGCAGCGGACGTGGAATCCATGGTTGCACTTGGGTAGCAGCCTAAGATGTTCTCCATTGACAAAATCTGACAAACATATCGCACACTCGTCTCCGAGCCCGGAGAGATTCATCTCAGGTGAGTAACTGACCACCGGAAACATCCTGAGAACTTTCTGCTTGATCCCTGTGTTTGATGTCGAAGGACTTGAAGTTGAAATGGGATCCGAGATCATGAAACTCGAAGACCGTCTCAACGCGCAACGAATGATGTAATGCAACCCTAATGAGCATATGATGCCACAGATGAGGACCGAGAGAAGCATGAGAGCATTTCCACTGAGGTTGTTGCTTTCGGTTTCAGGAGGAGACGGCGTGAGTTCAAGGAGGGATTGTTGAGGGTTCGGGTTAAATGGGTTGTGGAGAAGCAGCTTTCTTGAGACAAAACCGCTCAGGTTGTCTTCTTGGAAGACATTAGATGAAGGTAAGTGAGTTTCAGACATTTCTGAAGGCTTTTGCTTTGGGTTTCTTTTGCTTATTTGCTTTGGTTTGGAGAATTCTTGAGTCTCTGTGTGCTCTGCTATATATATATATATATAGTTTGATACAGATAAAGATTACAAATTGTTGTTTTGGGAAAATAAAATAAAAATAAAAAGAAAATAATGGGGATTTGAGACTGGGACCAGGAATGGGCTTATCCATTTCATGTGCCCAAGTGCAGATCTTTGCCACTGACCATATCTCTTCCAACTAGAAAATGCTGGGTAGGGACACTAATACCATTACATATTTACATACATGTCCATGGAAAGAATTTTGATATTTGTTTTATATTCTTTATTTGTGGGTCCCTTTTTTTGTCATATGCTCGTTGTGTTGATAAGCCAGGACTTTATTGAATTTTCTGTTGTATGATTTTATTTTCTCAGAGATTCCGTTTCTATCTTCATCTTCTTCTATTTTTAATGTTTGCATAAGATTTGGTGCATGACAAATATTTATATGCTTCTTTCTTCTCTCCTTTTTATGTGTGTTTGTTTGTGTGGCTAATATAATTCACCGCCTTTTTTTATAATAATCCGCCACTTCCTATATGAAAAAAGAAAAACAGTCCAAAAAAGTTACACCTTTTTATCAAAATATGATTTCGGGAAGTCCCCAACTTTGTTTCTTGTAATTTCTGCTATGACTATGAATTGTTTTGTTGTGTTGTGACTCTATAAGCAAAATAATGATTGATTGTATATTGGTTTTAGATCTCAAACATTAGTAGCTTTTGGTTATAACAAATTGACCAAAACTATCAATTATTATGATTTTGAAGTAGTCTTTGTTGAGACATACACATAAGATATGCAAGTGTCAAAAGTAAACATATGATTAAATCATGAATATTGTAAATGGTATGGTATTAAGGTTAGGCGTTTTGAATTTCGGTTCAATTTTGATTTTACTTTGTGTTTGTTTTAAAAAGAATTTATATCTATTGGGTTTTATGTCGGTTTTAGATTGGATTCAAATTTTGTTTGGATTTAATTCAATTTCTGAAAACGAAGTATTTTTTTTGTTTTGCTTTTAGTTTACGTCTTTTATTATAATTCCAGTAGCTTAAGTAGAGAATTATATTCAATATATTTTTATATTATATTAGTCATTCCCATTCAATTTCATTTTCTATACTCTAAAGAAGGCCGCGCCCGTAATATTAATACTTGAAAATGACGTTTTTTTCCATTTTTTTCTATGGGAGGCAAAATGACCTATCTCGTGACTATCATAGAAGGAAAAAGGCTCAAAAGTAAAAAAAAAAATTGTGAACTTCAATTAGTTGCATCTTTTCTCAGTTTCCAAGAATGATTTTGCCTCTAAAACTCTTTAAATTTACAATAAAAAAAAGAACCACAAACAGATTAATGGTTAATAATGATAAATACAGAATTATGAGATCAGATAATTTATTCTTTTTTTAATTGCAATCATTCACCCAACTCATTATTTTCCTCTTTACGGGTAATATATGCAAAAATCTATTAGAGAATCTGAACAACACCAGAGTCTTCATGCATGTGGACCTATTGTATTTTTGTTATATATTTATTTATTTACTTTTGGCAAATACCAAAAAAATGAAAGTGACTTTGGTCTTCTTTTGGCATCTTTGGCTCCATCAACAGCCTTTTACCTTATCTCTCCCTCCATGAAAATCACTCCTAACCTCAATTAATAGTCCCATGTTTTGTTTAGTTGCTTTAAAGCATGTATTAGTTTGATAATTTATGTGTGTATATATATATATATATATGTATAACCGTCTACATAAATTTCATGAAATAAAAAACACAAGTATAAGAGAACTAACGGTATTGCTATTTATAATAGCTCGTTACATCATTTATAATATAGCTTTCAAGATTGTTGGATTTGAATTCTTGAATTTAGATTTTGTCGGAAGGTAAGTTGTCCATCACAATATTTTATTACATTTATTTACAATTTGATATTTCGATTCTCTTTTTGGTTACTATTTTTTTTTAAATCCGAATAATCAGTATATGTTATTATACAAATAAAAAGTTTCAGAGAAATCCAAAATGGTAAACCCTACATCTATTATAGAAATTGTAAAATCAATTTGATTTCCCTAGATTGTAACACGTCATATTTCGATAATTTAATATGCCCGCCTTTTAGATAATAAAAAGGGGGTTCTATAAACTAGTTTTTATACATGAAAGAATAAATGTGTATATATATATATGACTGTTTGGATAGAGATTTGGAGATAGATATCATTAAATATATAGACTAACCCACCAAAAGTAAATAAGTGGGGGATGCTTGTTTTGTTCCCCCTCCTTTTACTTATTTATTAGCTAATTCAGTTATTTATTCATGATTTATGGTAATATTATAAGATATGTTTAACATCTAAATCATCTTTTATGTACTTTTTCGATTACCATTATATACGAGGATGCTATTTTTATTGTCAGATGTGTTAATATATATATATATATTCTATCTAAAATAATTACGTTTTTTTTTCTCAAACCAAATTAATGAACTAACAAAATATAAAAATAAATCAGATAAAATTCAAAAACAAAAATAATTTAGAGGCTAAATATTTTTAAGGAAAATTATACACAAAAAAAATTAAGAAAATAAAATTCGAATTAAATGGAAAGTTTATATAGAAGTTGAATGGTTATGTTTTTTTTCCATGCACACGTTTTCATGTCGTGAAAAAAAAAGGTTACATGGTTTCTTGCAATGGGCTGTGAAAAGGCCCAAAAACAAGCGAATGCTCTTGTAGAGGAAAATGGGCTTCTATAAACCCAATTAGCCTGAAACAGGCAAACCTCTTAGAACATGGAATTACCAAAACAAAAAAAAATACAGAAAATTATATTCACTAACATTATTACTGTATATTTATTTTAATCCTCTTATAACTTAAGTTTATAACTAAAAGTACTTTGTAGGTCCATGAAATAAATTATTTCGACATGAGTAATAGTAAAAAAATAACATATACATTAAATATACCTATGATATATTTGTGAAATGAGAGGTTCATCACGCAAACAGTTATACAAATTGAATTTTTTTTATATGTAGAATAAGAGTTTTTTTAATAAAATTAATATTTTTTTTAAAATTTATAGATTTTATTATTACAATATTTTTCAAAAAATTTAAATAGTCGATAATTTTTTTTTATTAAAATTAATATTTAATGATTTTTTATAACTATTTTAAAAGTAAAAGATTATTTTTATATAAGTTATATAATAACTGAAGTTTCTTTTTATTTAAAATTAACAGCTGTATGATGATTTTTTTAATTTAAAACTTAAATTTTGAAAACTAGAATATTATTATTAATATCAATAACGAGAAACGAAGAAGATATTGTCTTCGACTCTTCGAAGGAAATAAAGGTGAATGGCAATTTTAAAGGTCTCCGAGAGCGAGTAAAGGTTTGGGTAAACTTCAGCAATACCCTTATGCGTCGCACTACTTTCATCGATACACCCCTCAAAATCTAAAATATTTTTTTTATCAGATTCTACACCACATTTTAGGTAAAATGACTTAAATAACCTTATACATAAAATATCTAAAATACCCTTTTTATATTTGAATTTAAAAATATATATATATATTGAAAATATTTTCGTTTTAATTTGTCCACATGACTTTTTAAATTAATTTCGATTTCATCTTCTTTTTTTTCTTGGATAGACACACTTTTCAAAATTTTAAATATATTCGTTCTAATTTGTCTACGTGATTTTTTCAATTAATATGGTGACAATTGTTACAATTATTACTCTTTATTTACAACTTGTTTTTTGTAGCATATACAACTCCTTGTGCTTAGTTTTTTTATGCACAAACTGGATTCAGATTTTGGTTTCGCTGGATTCTCCATCTCGCTCTGCAATAAAACAAATGTATTCAGTTGCATTAGCGACTGGTATACATATTCAATATTATTACGACTAATTCACTTCACATACACTTCTATAATATTTAGTGGCATCTACTACTATCTCAAAGATGACAACTTTGTAATTATAAGTTGCGAATAAGACTAATTAATATACGCACAAAATATTTCGCAATTTTTCAGATAATCTGAACGAATTCGAAAAAAAACTCATCCAAAATACTTACATTCGAAAAAAAAAATCATCCAAAATACTCACATCAACATGAGGAGAAGAACCTTCTGTCATTTTCTTCCGCGGATTTGTTTTTCCGGTCGACCGAGATGTGTCGCTCCGATTTGGACCTTTTCACCCGACGAAGATGAAGATTCCTCTTGATTCTGGGTTTCTTCGCTCCATCTCGCTAGGTTCGCTTCATTTTGCTCGATTTCGCACTCAAAGTTTCGTTTCTCTCTCAACACCTTTATATGTCTTTTGATTTTCGAAAACTGATTCTAAAAAACCCTAACTCCCTCTTTCTTCTTTTTATTTCGGTGCCTTTCTCAAAATTTTAACCTATGCGTGACTGACTTTCATTAAGGATAGAAAAGACTTTTTTAGATTTTTTAAGGGTAAATTTGTAATTTGATAATTACTTATATTTTTGAGGTGTATCGATGATAGACATGCGACAACAGGAGAGGTGTAATCTTGAAGTTTTCCCGGAAGGTTTCTGGTGGCAGAGAAAAAGCTCGAATCAGTCGCTCCACGATTCGGTCCAAGTTCGTCCTCTGATGAAGTTGTTTTAGTCCTCTTACTTATCTCTACGGAAATTCGATTCTTCTTCTTCTTCTCCTTTTTTTTCGGGTTCCAGTTAGGGTTCTTTGAATATTTTCGGGACGAAATTCGAAAGGAAAAAGTTCAAATTTAAATTACACAAAATCCGAAGTGGACTACAAGCTTAAACTCCCTAACAAGCGAGGCCGTGCCGATTTGTGAGGTGATGATGCTGGTTTTTTTTTTCTCTCGTTGATTACTGTTGGTTTGTTATTTCATAATTTGTTTTAATTTTAGGTTTTGATCATCGAGCACTGTATTATTAGTTGATGATGGTTCTGTTTTCTGCTTTGAACTCATTTGAATTCTGGGTTTTGTTATGTTTCTCTTTCCGAGACTTGGGTTTTACTTGAAATTCTGTGAACTTGATCTTATGCTGATTCAGTATGGTCAGAATCAGCTCTCTGAATTCATATTATTTCCATTTGGATCGTTTTTTGAATACTAACAAGTGATTTTCGTGAGGTGATGATGATGATGATGATGATGATGATGATGGTGATGATGATGATGATGAGCTCTTTCACTAATGTTCTTTTGTTACCTTGTGATAATCTGTTCTATCTTCTCTGGGTTTGACCAATCTATTATGTATTATCAGTCAGATGATGATTTTGAGGCTATGGTTCAAATTGCTTGAATACTGGATTTTCTTTATCTTCTTCAAACCTGGGGTTTGCTAGAAATTCTGTGAAATCTATCGTATTGCTGATTCAGTAAGTTCACAATAAGCTCTGCGACTTCGAGTATTTCCCCCCAGGAATCGTTTTTTATATCAGACGAACTTTTGTTTGTTTTGTAGCGAGTGAGTTCCGGTGATCTGCGATTTCAAGTTTCCCCTGACGAGTTCTCTGGTACAAGGAAAAAGATGTCGTCTTCATATAACAGTAATCACTCAGAAGGCGCTAAAGCAGAGCAAATCATAACAGAGTTCTTTGCGAAAAGTCTTCACATAATTCTTGAATCAAGAACTCCTTATATGTCATCAAGGAACTTCAGTGGTGAGCAGATGGTATTGTCCCCATCTTCATCCTCTTCCTCATCCTCGAGTGTGAGGCCTCGGGATAAATGGTTCAATCTAGCTCTCAGGGAATGTCCTGCAGCGCTAGAGAATTTTGATATCTGGCGCCAGAGCAATCTCGATCCTTTGGTGGTTGATGTGGTTTTGGTGCAGAGGCCACTTGATATCGACCCAATTAACTTGTCGGGTAAACAGGAGCTTATGAGGAATTTCTCGGGGAAAGAATTTGGGGTGTGAAAGCAAGAACGAGAAGATCATAGAGAGATGGATAGTGCAGTACGATAATAGGAAGCTTAGGGAATGTGGTGCCAGTAGCAGGAGGTCAAGCAACAATAAGTTGCAATTAATGTACAAGAAAGCAATTCTGCTGCTTAGATCGTTGTTTACAATGGTTAGGCTACTACCCGCTTATAAAATCTTTCGTGATCTCAATTCTTCGGGGCAAATATGCAAGTTTAAGCTTGTCCCTAGGGTTCCTTCAATAGTTGAACCATTTACTCGTAGGGAAGAGGCTGAAATGCAGAAGTTTGCTTTCACCCCAGTGGATACTTCTTGCGGTAGACTTTGCTTGTCGGTGTTATACCGTTCTCTCTCAGATGTCAGTTATGAGCCGGCAACACCTATGTCTCCGACATTTATCCAGGACTATGTGGGAAGTCCCTTGGCTGACCCATTAAAGAGGTTTCCCTCGCTTCCTCTTTCACATGGTTCACCTTCATCTTTACCCTTTTTACGGCGCCATAGTTGGAGTTTCGATCAGTACAAGGCTTCTCCTCCTTCAGTTTCTTTCTCACCATCGCCGACACATTCAGATTCACATGCATTGGTTTCAGATCCTTCTTACCGTCGTACCTTACCTGCCGGTTGCTTGCCTCCCCATCCATCTGAAATACCCACTGGCCATAGGAAGGACAGCTTCAACGATGATTATACTCCTTGCCCGGATTTTTCCTCTTCGTCTTCCCCTTCAGCGCCTATACATATCCCGGGGAGTCACCTGCCAAGAGGTATCACACGTGCTGAAAGCGCTCCTGTCAGGATTCCTGCTATAAGAGAACTAACGGTATTGAGAT